ACATGGAATCAGGTTAGCTTGAGCTTGTTAATTTTTTTAACAAAAATAAATACATTGTCATTTTATAAAAAAAATTAAAAAAAAATTAATGTGTAGATTAATTATATTTTATTATATCAACTCAATATTCAATCCAAACTAGTTTAGGTCTGGTTTTACAACAGTGTTAGAGAGCTGTTAAACCATATAGTATTCGAGAATTGACCATTAGATGGTAGGGAGGGAAGACTTGCTGCTCCCCTTGATGCAGAAGCACTGGTGCTCGGCTTCTTTTGCCTCCTGTTTTTTGTGGTGATTTTTGGCATCAATTCAGAGACCCCTACTGTTGCTTGACTTGTTATTTTCTGGGGAAGATTTTGTAGTATTTGCATCGTTGTTTTCAACAATTTTGTTTTTTTTTTTTTCTCTGTGGACATTGACTAATTAGTTTCTATCCTGGACATTGAAAATTCAAGTCTTTGCGCGTCCGGAGGAATTATGGATTCAAGAAATAGCTACGTTGCTTTGAACAGAACATCGTAGTAACGATGGTCATATTAATGAATGTCCAGAGTGAATTCTAAGATAAAATTCATTAAGGTTTTGATTTTTTTTTTTGAAATTGTGATTGAAATTATATTTGAGTATGTTTTAAAAATATACTTTGTTTGAAAAATATTACATTAATATTTTTTAATTATTTTTTGATGATTTTAATGTGTTAATATAAAAAATAATAATAACAAATTAAAAATTTCTAACGGGCTAAAAGAAATCTAAAGAGGATGACCTCCGGTAATAATCATATTTAAAAAATATTTTTAAAGGGTTGAGGGGAACTTAAAGAGAGTAATCTCTGATAATATCCATATTTAAAAAAAATTATAAAAAAGATAGTTTTATAGCATCAGAAAAATCAAATTAATCTCTTAAAAAGTGGTCATACTTAGTGTGAGAGGAATGTGACCCCCTAGGATGGAATAAGGCATAGAAGCCTTAAATTAAAGAAAGATCTAAAAAGTGGGAGGTCTGTACAAGTCTTCTTTATGATGGTGTAGAGACTAGGAAGCCTCTCCTTGAAGAATAGTCAATGGTACCTAAGAGATATATAATCTTTTTATAATAGCATGAGACATGAAAGCCTCCTGTTAGAGAGTGATGCCAGTTCAAGATTGCATTGGATAAAGAGGATCTAAGATCAACTCCTGATGAATTGATGAGAGATCTTTTTACATTACTTGAAGAATATGTCAGTTCGTTATTGCAATGGAGAATGAGGGATTCGAGATCAACCCCTGTTGAATTTGTGATTGGCATTACTTGGAGAATGTGTCAGTTCAAGAATGCATTAGAGAGTGGGGGGTTCAAGATTAACCCCTAGCAAATTGATGAGAGTCCTTTTGACATCACTTAGACAATATGTTAGTTCAAGATTACACTAGAGAGTAGGGATCCAAGATCAACTTTTAATGATTGTTAGGATATTGTTCTAGGGAGATCAAGTCAATTTCCTTTAAGCAGAGTGGTTGGAAGTCCTCACTAAAGATCTGTAGTTAGGGAATACATGTCATAAATACATTATTTTTATTTAAAAATAATCTTATATTTCTATTGAGGATTATGCATCCTAAAATAATTTGAGTGATAAGTACATGGAAGGTTCTTAAAAGCAACATGTTATGGAGGTAGCATCATAATATTTTCTTTGACTGTTCTAATAACTTTAAATGAGTGATTCTTGGGATATACCAAACAATTATTGGTTGATCCATTAAGGTTTTTTCTTGAGCTTTTATTTTTACTAGCAGAATAAATTCATTTGGAAGGTCCTTGATTGTCTATATAATAAGAAGGGGGTTACTAGGAGAATGAATTCATTTGAAAGGTCCCTGATTGTCTATATAATAAGAAGGTCATATCGTAGCAAATCAACCTTTTTCACCGGTATATGATTTTCCATGACTTGTTTTACTTTAAGCAAACTTTTGTCTAGTAAGGTATAAATTTTTTTCTAGAAGGCATATTCTCATATCTCTTTTATCAAGACCTTCATAGCTACTTGCTCAAGAAATTCTTTCACCTTGAGCATCTCTTTATCAAATCTCTTCAAATATGCTTGTGTAAATTCGTCTTTTTGTTGAGTAACCCCAAATAGTTCTACAAAGCTTTTCTTTATAGGTATGATAGTGTTAAAGCGTGCTATTAGCTTAACACATAGGTTACCTAACCTATCAATAGAGCTTGGATCCAAATTATTGTACCATACATGAGCAAACCCCTGGAAGGTTATGAGGAGGATTTTTCACTTTGAGTCATTGTTCTGGATGACAAACTCTAAACTACCATGTACATTTATACATGCTCTATTAGGTCAGTTAGGTCATTATAGTTGTTCATATTTATTTTTTTAGAAATATGGTCTTTAGAAAATCGATTGTTTAATATTTTTCTTTGTAAATTAATTTAACGTGTTTCTTTTGTAAAATATAATCCAAACACGCTAGGCTTAGGTGTAATAGTCCGAGTCTATGAAAATACTTGGATTTCTAGTGTGTGAGCTCGAGGTATCACACCTGAGTCTTTTAGAGGATTTCTTTGGATATGTCGGGGGGGAATTTTTTGGATCCATCACGTATACAATTAAGGATTCTTAAAACCAAATGGATTGCTTTCCTAGAATCAAAGACATGATAAAATTTGAAATTTTCTCTTTCTTTGAATAAAAAGGAGAGTTGATATATATGTAACATCCCTTTATCGCCATTCCTACGTTGTAGAGCTTCACGAACAATGAGAATATAATTTCTTCTAATTAATCTTTTTTTTTTCATTTTTTACATTGGTTTGGATTTTCTAAAATCTGTGAGAATGACAAGTAAAATGTAATTTTTTAGTATTTTCCATGTTAAGCGTGTGTGTGGAGTCTTTGATTCTTACGGACCTTCTTGCTTTGGGAGGATCCCAATTTTCCTTTGGTAGTTCAAAACTGATTGTGTGCGGAAATTATCTGCTGATGGGGTCCTTTCTAGCCTCTGTTAAAAAAGTTGAGATTGACCAGTAGCTGTGAACAGTCTCGTTAACAATTTTGCGAGTCTTTACCAAGGTCCAGGAAGTAGCCTTTCAGCTTGCAAATGTTAAAAAGCAGTGACATTTTAGGCTCTTAAGGGAACTCAATCAATGATCGTCATTTATATATTAAGCAATCACAAATAAAGATTGCAATATTTGCTCGTCTATGGGAATCACTCACAATTGACGTGATATAAAAATTGACTTGAAACATTATCCAACCATATCAGGGGTCCAAATATCACGATCCCTTGGCCACGGAAATGACCATACTTAGCACTCTCCACTACCTTCCTAGCAAACCTCCATGATCTCACTACCAGATTTACTATCTAGACTGGATTCTATCACCACTCTTATGCTTGTTGTTATGTACTTACCTCTTGCCTATTTATCAAAACTTAAGTCATTGCCCATGCAAGCATCCCAGTCCACTTAAAATAATTTGAATCGTTCGATATTGAGAGATCCTTCCTTTTTAATAGCATGCCTAGGTTATTCTGCAGGAGCTGCACAATGGGGCAGATTGAACCTGTCCAGTTCTGCCTCTTCTATGAGAACTAGCTATACTTCATCCTTGGTTTAGTTTTACACCAAAAATGTTCTTAAGCACCATAGCAACATTGACCTAGGCACATCGTAAGGTTGTAAGATTCAGTAAACTATCATAAGCAGGAGCCTATGTTCTAACAGATGGAGAGTTGTTCTAAGACAATGTCATTAAGATGTTCCTAGTAGCGCACCATTGGTTGCCAGAAAAGTTAGCTTTGCTATCACTGCCAATCACAGTGAGGACCATATGACCTCCAGGGATCATTTCTTCTGAACGTGATTTCAGACACACCATGAAATCATTCTCGAAGGGGGGGTTGTCTTGGAAAGACGGAGATCCTTTCGGGTGGCAAGCATACTTTTTAAAGAATTATATAAATCATATACTATGCTTCATCTAATTTTCTAACGGTAAATAGTCTAGAGAATTCAAAATAAATCAAGTAAAGTGGAATTCTCAACTTTACTTGAAGGTTTAATCTTTTCCTTTCATTTCACAGGTAGAAAAAAGAATTAATGGAGTTGATGAAGAACAAACCATTGCTTAATATTTTCGAGGAATTTTTTTAGCAATCTGGATATTGTAAAAGTCATCATGACGGCGTTGTGAAAGGAAAACTTCAGGGATTGCTAACCGGTGAACGCCATTGAAGATAGAATGAGAAAAATTGTTAGGAAACAGCCTTCCATAGAAATTTTCAAGCATTCCTGTATGAAACATGGCCCAAAATCACTTCCCTTCTCATTCTTGATCTTCTCATAGAAGCTAGGCAGCGACCTTAATATTACGTTGAAATCATTTCATGGAGGTTCATTCAGGAACACCTGAAATGTATGGTCCTGATGGGCAGCTAAAATCATTTCAAAACTACTGCTCCATGCTGTGCAAATTTTGGTTACTAGTAAAACTAAGCTTGAAATTAGGTTTATCATCGGGTAATTGTTTGATTAATCATGTTGAATTAATGTCTCAGAAGCTGCTGATGTGGAAGATGGAAAGAGTTTAGTGTTGAACAAAACTCATTCTAAATTGAAGTTTTCAAAGTTTGTGAGGATTTGCCATAATCTTCTTTTCTGTTATGTAACAAACAGCAGCAGATTTTGCTGCTGTTTATTTGCTTTTGGTGTTTCAAGGAGTTGTTTAAATAAGATTTATGTTTGTCAATAAAATCAATGAAGTTTTCAGAATAGCTTTGTTATCTATAAACATTTAAATTTTCTGTCAAAACCATCAAATCAACATCTAAACATGACACAGAATCTTCTGATGGGAAAGGTCCCAAGAAGCTGTTTTCAGGGAAGCAGTAGTGCGTAAACAAAGCAAACAGAAAGGAAATGGGAACCCAAAATAACTCTACGTTTATTAGCAAGCGCGACCACATTCCTAAAATAAGCTTTAAATTACTGGATCTTTACCATTGCTCCCCTACTCCTACCCTCCTCTTTCACAATTTCACCACTTTCACCATCTGGCTCTTGTGCACCTTCCTCTTTTTTCACTACTTCACCAGTACTCTCGTCAAGCTCTTTTTTCACAACTTCACCATTGTTCCCGTCAAGCTCTTGTGCAAGTTTTCCCTCTGCTGTTCCTGATTCTCCATTGCTATCTTTGTTTCCGTCCTCTCTCTTCAGTCTTTCGCTCTTATCCTCAAGGAACTCAATAAGACCTGTTAAAGCACTCTCTGGCTCCTCGTATCTCAGCAGTTGCTCGCCTACTTCTGCAGGAGTAACCCTCGCTTTCTCTATTAGCGCTTCGACACAAGGGAAAAGTGGGTGCTCTGTAAACCCAAGGTAGTTGGAGGCCAGCAATTTGAATCCACATGGAGTGCAGTAGGACATGTGAATGTGCACATCCATACGACCAGGTCGCAACAAAGCAGGATCAAGTCTTTCTTTGTGATTGGTAGTGAATATTATGATTCGTTCATCCCCACAGCTTGACCATAATCCATCCACAAAGTTAAGCAATCCTGATAGGGTCACCTGATACTATACAAAATCATGTCTGTCAAGAATGGGAAACGCTGCAAGCTTCATTAAAATAGCAATAAAAGCTTGTGTTTTGATTATTGTCATCTATATATCAGATCCCCGTATGGGGAGGACCTTCAGTCATGCATGGAAATTGTTTACTTGAAGAGAATATCTGGTATATAACTCATTGCCTGAGACATTACTCCTTATCACACAAACTCCTGTATCCAACCAGTCATAATCTGGAAAGAAAGTGTGAACCAGTAATACCATGCCATTCTTGACTTGGAAAAAGGAAAAGGTCAACGATGTTTCATTAGCATACCAAGTAATCTCATCATAATATGGATTTTATCAAATCCTCCTCAGGACTAAAATATAGGTTCTGAACGTAATATAAAATGGAGAGGAATAATTACCTGGTTTACTTGGTCATATGCTAGATAATGTCGAGATGGCATCATTGCTCTGGCTTGTGCAAGCCTATCCTGTAATTCAATGGAACAATCGATGTCCTCCACCACAAGTACGGACTTATTCTCAGTTGAGATCAACAAACTTCTAAGATCAGAATTGGTCCTAAGATCAGTCAATTCCAGATCATAAATATCAAAATTAAGATAGTTAGCTATTGCAGCAATCAAGCTCGACTTTCCAGTCCCTGGTGGACCAAACAGTAAGTACCCACGTTTCCATGCCTTGCCTACCCTCCTATAGAACTCCCTTCTCTGCACAAACCTCTCAAGATCCTCCATGATCACCCTCTTCCCTTCCATATCCATTGCTAACGTATCGAATGTAGCAGGATGATGAAGATTCACTGACTGCCAAACATCCCCTCTCCTCCCCGACATCCTGTCAGGGGTTAGCGTGAAAAGCTTCAAACTCTTCTTCTCCTCTTTCGTTTCTTTTGATTTTTTAATCACGTGCTTTAAATAAACATCAATAACCATATCCCTATGCTTCTTGTGAAAACTCAACTCAAAGAACTTATCCTCATAGTTTGGTATAGAATTAAAATTATTAGGGCTTGGTATATATTTTCTTGGCCCTTGTTTTGAGATGAACTTCCATTTCAGAGTAACCCCATTAAAGGGATCAACGATTTCTTGGTTTCTATCTAAAGAGAATGAGAAATTACTCTCTTTCTTGATCAGTGAGATCTTGAGTTTCTTTGCATCCGGAGGAATTATGGACTCAAGATAGAGCTCTGCGGCTTTGAAGAGATTGTTTTGGTTAAGGTTGTCATATTCTTCAATAACTAAAGTGAACTCCGAAGAAAAAGAGTTGATCAAGGTTTTGAGTTTGTAGAAGATGTATCTTCGGAACTCAGAAGGAAGATACTCCTTAACAATGGAGCGGAAGAGCACAATTGTGGCAGCAGCTGAGGCTGCTGCAGAGATCATAGTCTTAGCGGAGGGCATTTGGGTGGCTGAACTGCCGGGAAACATGGTTTTAGGCCTCCAAAACATTTGTGTGATTGAAGGGCTCTTAGCGTTTCTAGTGTTGGAGGATTTGTGGTGTTTAGTTTGTTGCTTTCAGATCCTTTGGCAAATGCTATCGAGGAGACTCTTTGTTTATTATAATGCAAAATCTGAGAGTAGGAATGGTGTTTGCGAAGTGCAGAGGAAAGAGTGACGAGTGAATGACGGTGTTTTTGGTGGTAGACTCCTTATGCATGATTGATGCTGTGTACCGAAGAACATTTGTTTGTTAGCCATGAAAACTTTTATGCTTTTCATTTTGTGATCAACATCATAATTTTGATTTTTAGAAATGATTTAATAATCCATATAGAATTAGGGATTAGGATTTCACTCATGATTCAATTATTGAAATAATTAAATCAATTATATAAATAAACATTCCAATAATTAAAAAAAAAAGTATAGAAATACTATACGAAAAGAAATGCAACTTTCGTCGAATACTTTAGCCCCACCAAGAAGACTTTTTCTTGCTCTGCCCCCTACGCATGCCAACGACTTAGCGTTCTGACTCAAGTCGTCAAGGAATTAGGTATTCTATGCTCACTATTGCACATTGTGAGTGAACAACACGCTCTAATTCTCACTTGTTGATGGGGAATGGACAAGCTGCACGACTGAATGGTGTTTTACATGTTCTGTTGTCGAGTGTGGAGTTAGGGTTTTGGTTCTTGATTCATTGCTGCTACGAAGTTTCTTGCAAACTTGCTAGTGTCTCTTCTGACGGGGTCCCTTTCAAGCCCGATGGCTATATAGTAAAGAAAACGTAAAAGAAGCATTGGTCGATGCAAAGTGATCCAACGAAATTGCAGAGAAATAGAAATATAGAGACTGAAGCAAACTGACAAAGAAAATATGGTATTTTGATGCAAAAGTCACTGGCAGATGACTATGAATAGTCTCAGTGAATTCACAACGAATGTCAAGAGAGAGTGATTATGAGTGTGTGGTGCAGTTGTTTTTTTAAATATTTAATAATATTTTTATAAAAATTATTTTTGATATTTAAATAATAAGATAATATAAAAATATAAAATTAAATTAAATTAAATTTTTAAAATGACAGATATATATATATATATTTAAATAATAAGAGAGATGATATTTTTAAACTAACTTTTAACTAAAATAATATATATATATATATATATATCATCATCAGATAGGCCATGATTATTAAGGGATTATGCTACTTTATTACTTTATTGACTACCAATATTATGATAATTTTTTTAATTTTGATTTAGACATTCTAAAATGACAGAATGTGTCTGATTTAAAGACAAGTCCTGCATTAAGATCCTGTTTTAGACATTCTTAAATTACTCGATTTAGATTTCTAGCATGGTTCCTGTTCTGCTTTGAATCTAATTAATAAAATTCAAATATAATAAAATTAGAGACCTAATCTTCTCCTTCCCTCTGAAAAAAACCTTCTCCATCATGTAGTTTTGTTTTTCAAGAAAAATATATTCAATTAAAGTGGAGCTGATACTGACCATTTTTCTTTCATCAAAGCTTCTCTAACAAAATCATTATATGAACCATATACAAATGATGCATCTGATAAAGAGGAGCCATCTGGTAGAAGAATCTGACAGCGTACATACTATACTGATCATGCTTAGCAATTATTTGGATATTTACTGTATTCTTTCAAAGGAACCACATTCTACCCAGCGGATTCTCGTTGTGGTTGTAAACAAAATTCAATGAAGAGAAATTGCCATGTATCATAGAAAAACGCATATCCTTCTTCATCCGTGTTTCAGCTATACAAACGGCATCAACCTTGACTTTGAGACTAATAAGCTAGCCTCCTGTTCTAGAGAGCAAAGGTATAAAACCCGACCCACATGGGTCATATTTCACCAAGTTAACTCAGGTTTGTTAATTTTTTTAACTAAAAAAATCTATAAAAAAATTCAACAAGTTGATTGACCTCGGATTGCGAGTCAACCACAATTTTGGATCAAGCCACTTTGTTTTTTTCTTTATATATTTCTTTTTCAATCCAAACTAGTTTAGGTTCTAAGTCAATTGAACAACCTCTTCCGGGTTTTACAACAGTGTTTAGATCATGTAGTATTCAAGATCAATGTTATGTTTGTTTCTTGAAAAATAGTTTTTGAAAAATTATTTTTCAAACTTTCTAGTATTTGTTTACTATTAGAAAAGTTGGTCAATGAAAAACATTTTTTGGTCAACAAAAAACATTTTCTGATCAATGAAAAATACTTTCTGATCTACGAAAAATATTTTTCAGTCAAAAATAAATTTGACTTGGTTTTTAGGAAAGTTTTTTTCTTCCGGGAAAACACTTTCCAAATTTTCTTGTGTTTGTTTTCCAGAAAGTGGTTTCCGGAAAATCACTTTTCGAACTTTCTTGTGTTCGTTTGCTATTAGGAAAGTTGGTAAATGAAAAATATTTTCTAGTCAAAGGAAAATTTGGCTTGGTTTTCAGGAAAGTGCTTTCCTGAAAAATTTAGAGAAAACACTTTCCGGAAGTTGTGAAAAATTTAGAAATGTCGTTATTTGCTGATTATATCAAATTTGATTCTCATATCTATCAAATTTGGTTCTCAGTCTTTTGATTGTTACTTATTTTATTTAAAATACTTTATGAAATGTTAATTATTATTATTTTAATTTCTTCATCTTTTTTTTTTTAGATTTGATCTTTATTATTTTGATTATTATTTATTTTATTTGAGATAATTTATGAAATTATTTTTTTTTCAATTTCATTATTATTCAATTTTTTAATTTGTAAAATTTGTTCCTTATTATTTTAATAAACTTGAGAAAAATAAAGCATTAATAAATTATTTTCTAGTTTATTTTCCATAACATAACTAAACACTGGAAAGTGTTTTCCAATTTATTTTTCATAATATTACCAAACATAAAAAAATAATTTATTTTTCAGAAATTTATTTTTTCTAAAATTTATTTTCTAAAAATTTATTTTTTAAAAAATTTACTTAAAAACAACCTTTTTACAAATAAACAGAGCATAAAAAATTGACCATTAGATGGGAAGGAGGGAAGACTTACTGCTCCTCTGCCTTGGTGCTAGGCTTCTTCTGCCTCCTGTTCTTTTTGGTTATTTTTGGCATCAATTCAGAGGCCCCTGCCGTCGCTTGACTTGGTTTTTTTCAGGGGAAGATTTTGCATCGTTATTTTCAACAATTTTGTTTTTTTTGTCTACGGACATTGACTACTTAGTTTCTGTCCTGGACATTGAAAATTCAAGTCTTTGTGCATCCAGAGGAATTATGGGTTCAAGAAATAGTTATGCCGCTTTGAACAGAACGTTGCAGTTACGATGGTCATATTGTTGAATGGCTAGAGTGAATTCCGAAGACAAAATTCATTAAGGTCTCGAGTTTTTTTTTTATTATTATTATTGTTAAAGTTATATTTGAGTATATTTTAAAAATATTTTTTGTTTAAAAAAATATTAAATTAATATTTTTTTAAAAAAAAACATGTTATCTACCTTTCTTATCAAAACCCCTTAGCTAGTGGCTTAAAAATTCTTCTACCTTGAATATTTTTATTTTATTGAACCTTTAAATATGTTCACGTAAATTTGTCTTCTTACTAAATAACACTAAATAATGTTATGGAACTTTTCTTCATGTTTATGCTAGTATTCAGCTTAACACATTGATCATCTAATCTATCTATAGAACTTGAATTCAAATTATTGTATCATATACATGTAGATCTCTGAAAAGTTGTGGGGAGAAATTTTACATTGAGTTATTGTCTGGATGACCAACTCTAAACTACCATATACATTTTATATATGGTCTCATAAGTCGGTCAGGTCATTATAGTTATCCATATTTATTTTCATAAAAATATAATTATTAAGAGTTGATTGTTCAATGTTTTTTTTATAAAATATAATTTAAATACGCTAGGTTTGGATGTGATAGCCTGAGCCCACGATGGTGCTAGGGTTCCTGGTGTGTGGGCTCGGGCTACCACACCTGAATCTATGTTTTTTGCATGTATTTTTTAGCTTTTTTTTTTTAGAGAATTTTTTTTATTTATTTTGGAAATTTTTTGGGATTCATCATAGATAAAATTTAGGGTTTTTAAAATCAAATGGATTGCTTTCTTGGAATCAAAGACATGATAAGATTTGAAATCTTTTCTTTCTTTGAATAAAAAGGAGAGTTGATATATATGTAATTAGCATCCCTTTATCGCCATTCCTAGATTCTAGAGCTTCACGAACAATGAGAATAAAATTTCTTCTTATTAATCTTTCTTTTTTCATTTTTTTTCATTGGTTTGGATTTTATAAAATCTGTGAGAATGACAAGTAAAATATAATTTTTTAGTATTTTCCGTGTTAAGTGTGTGTGTGGAGTTTTTGATTCATACGGACCTTCTTGCTTTGGAAGCATCCCAATATTCCTTCAGAAGTTCAAAACTGATTGTGTGCGGAAATTATCTGCTGATGGGGTCCTTTCGAGCCTCTGTTAAAAAAGTTGAGATTGACCAGCAGCAGTGAACAGTCTCGTTAACAATTTTGCGAGTCTTTGCCAAGGTCCAGGAAGTAGCCTTCCAGCTTGCAAAAGTGAAAAAGAAATAACATTTTATGCTCTTGAGAGAACTCGATCAAGCCTCTTAAGTTGACATTTTATGCTCTTCAGGGAACTCGATCAAGCCTCTTAAGTTGCAATCTTCAATGATCGTCATTTATTAAGTAATCACAAATGAAGATTGCAATATTTGCTCGTCTATGGGAATCACTCACAATTGACGTGATATAAAAATTGACTTGAAACATTATCCAACCATATCAGGGGTCCAAATATCACGATCCCTTGGCCATGGAAATGACCATACCTAGCACTCACCTTTCTCCACCTCCGAATGCTCCACTACCTTCGTAGCAAACCTCCATGATCTCACTACCAGATTTACTATCTAGACTGGATTCTATCACCACTCTTATGCTTGTTGTTATGTGCTTACCTCTTGCCTGTTTATCAAAACGTAAGTCATTGCCCATGCAAGCATCCCAATCCACTTGAAATACTTTGAATCGTTCGATATTGAGAGATCCTTCTTTTTCAATAATATGCCTAGCTTCTTCTGCAGGAGCTGCAGATTGAACCTGTCCAGTTTTGCCTCTTCTATGAGAACTAGCTATACTTCATCCTTGGTTTAGTTTTACACCAAAAATGTAGTTTTACACCAAAAATGTTCTTAAAAACCATAGCAACATTGACCTAGGCACATCGTAA